TGCCTAGATGCTTTCATATTTGTACCCAATAATATTCACTTTGTGTACCTCCTAACTTACCCGAGTTCTCTTGGCTGGTAGCTCCAGTGCTGGGTTCCCTGGGTGTGCTACCCTCCTCCCCACTGGGGGTTGTTGCACTTGGGCCTCCTGTTCCTACTGATGGAAAATAGCATTCAAAATTGCCTTGCACATCAATCAAATCTTTTAACATCATAAACTACTTTACACTGTTAACTGATTCAGGTAATCAGGTAATTTGACAAATCAACTGAGTATTCAGTTTCCCATCTATAGTAGAGGCTTTCTTTTACTATTACTCAATATTAAGTATAACTACAATGCAATTATTTAAAATGAAAAAATTGAAATAAAGCCAGAGGAAAAACTTAATTAGTGAGGATTATATAATCTTCACATTTTTATTTAGCAATTAAAAGATGATAGTGTTAAAATGGTATATTTACAAGTGTTTGCTTTCTTTCATTCAGTCTTTGAGCACACACTGGGAACCAAACTTTCAATTACCTGTTCCAGATCTATGGAATTACTATATGATAATAACAAGTTATCACCTATTGAGATATCATTGTTAGTATGTAACTCTAAATCAGATTATTGTGAATGTAATATAATGCTAGTCACTCTAAGATTTTAATGAATTTACTGATCCAATGAGAATTACCCAGTTTATTTCCCCCTATCTATAAACTACATTATTAAACCTTGTACTTTTAATGTTAAATAAAGTTTATTCAAATGACTGTCATAAATTTTAAATCAAAGCATCATCTAATAAAAAAATGTAGAATAAAACCAAAATAGACCCAAGGATTTGTTAATAAAAACATGGAAACATACTTATCTGTACATGAGAAAAACCCTCTTCATAGCAAAAATGTGTGATTTAACTTTAAAAAAAATCAGAAATATTTAAAGTACTTTAAATACTGCACAAAAGACTGAAAACTCATCTATGAGAAAGTCATTCACATATGACGTTCATAGAGTGCAACCTCTGAGGGATGCTGGGAAAAAGTGTGAATCGTGCAAAGGTACTTTTCCAACTGGATCACTGATTCCCTATA